AAAATGTTGCATTATCGCAATCATGAGGAAGCCTATGTTTTATGCAATGAGTGTTGCTTAAATAACAAAGAATAATAAAAATATAAAGGAAAAAAATGAATTGTGTATGTAAAATAAAAAAAAAATAATAAAACACACACGCAGCAACAGAAATTACTTACGTTGCAAAAGTAGAATTATAATGTCTGTTGCTTCCTCGACATTCACTGCTATAGAGTAGAACAAATATTACGTAAAAGTTCAGTATTCTTTTCTTTGTTTCTAAGGATATTCTGTCATTTCTTGATACGTTGCTTAGCTTTTAGAAGACATCATTCGCTATCTTCATGCAACTTCGGATTTCAGTGTCTCAATTTACGTCCTTTATTAAAACGTTTCTCAGATTTTTAAATTGTTGTACTTCCTTAATTTTGGTATCACCAATTTGTAACTTCTATGTTGGGCTATCCCTTTTTTATATTTTCTTTTTAGAATTTTTGCTTAGTCCTTTCTTCTCACTTTCCTTCACTCCTTTATTTATCTGCTATCAACACTTTGTCATCTGCATATCTTATCGTGGCCATCAATAATGAATACCCGCAGGATTTCACATTAACTCAGATCACTTTAATCTATAGGAAGAATAAGTCCGGTGAGAAGATACATCCTTGTCTTACACCCCTTTCTCTTTTTGTATATTTACTTTATTTACTGAATTAAATGTAATGATACATAAAAGACATAAAAATCATTGTTGGATAAAGACGTTATAGAGGAAAATGGCGACATTAGATTAAAAAAAAAAAGAAAGGATTCCAGAACATCATTTAACATTTACTCAAGAGACAGGAACTGAGATGAGAAAATATCTGATTCATAGACTAATTCGAACTACAGCTACCAGAGCTTTTGTTCCAACAGAAGAAGCTTTTAGTGTTTTGGAAGAATTTGATAGTATAGCCAGCCTTAAGGCAGTTCTTCTGGATAATACAAATACAAATACTAGTTGTAAGACAGGCCTTGTGTAGAAGAGGCTCCATTGAAAATGACATATGTGTTTTTAAATATGCTGATGCTATAGTGGGTCATCAGATATAGTGAAGTGTATGAGTGTGGAAACAAATTAATTTGATTTGGCCTTGTTAGTTTGATAGCCCACCACAACAGGGGTATAAAACAAGAAAATCAAATTGAAAAGTGAAACAACAAATTTATATACATATAAATCAATTAAGTTCATTACAAATAAAATTAATGTATTTTGGTTGATACAAGGTCGTCAAAATGTTAGTAGTAGTCCTTGCAAGAATGAATTTATGTGTACGTAGGAAGGAACGTATGTGTGGATGTGTGACGTCCCTAAACACAACCTTCGCTCGCTCCTCGCTGCTTCGTTCGGGTGTCGCCGCTCCAAACGTGACGTCCACCTGTCGCGTCAGTCGTGTTGTCTCGTCCTGTGACGACCAGCTGGCTTGGTATCGGTCGCGGCACCCAAATGTGACGTTCTAACCTTTTGGTGATTCGGATGGGAATCTGGTTAGATTCGATATCAGCCTCGTCGTTCCCAACTCGCTTCCAACGTCTGGTTACCAAAGTAACTGCATTGATCTCCAGCCTGCCCACCCACGGTGTGAATTGATCTCTGTAGTTGGTCCGTAATGCAAATCGGGTTCAAACGGGGGTGACACCGCACAAATATGCATAAAAGAAAATAAAATCATAACTCAAAAATTCAAGGTATCAAAAAAAAAGGATAACAAACTTTATGTCTAGTTGTTGGATACATAGGACTGCGTCTATCTCCCGACCCGTTCTATGGATTGTGACACGTTGTTTTCCGTTAGGCGAGTTTTAACACTTCAAGTTGTTTGCTCTTTACGAAATTGGTTTTTCGGTGTCTTCGGGCGAAAGTCGAAAAAACTTATTTTGGTGGTCTGGATCTAAGTCGCTCTTCAAAATAATTGTTCTTGGATTGAAGATGAGACCGGAAATTGCGCGAATCTTGGTCAGCCGATGCGAGACTTCACTGGAGACTGACTCTGGGAACTGTCTCTCCCGAACTCAACTCTGGAACTCGAACTGGAACTGAACTGATTTCTGCTCGCTGCGACTTTGCTTATATGGTCGCCGACCAAAACCGGGGTGGGTTTGTCGGCGCCGGGGGTTCCTCGATAATTCTAAATACCTATCCACTTCTCTTATTTTTGGTTAGAATTTTCCACTTCTTTCCATTTTTGGGAGCCCTCTCTTACTCCCACCTTCTCACCATACTTCAGAGGGGCGTGAACTGCCCTCCCTACTTCTTCGTAGCAACCTCTCATACCCATCCTCTAGATGGGCGGCGACAGCTTCCTCCTTGCGTCACGTGATCACCACTCGACCAATGATGTCTAGTCGGGCGTGTACGATCCTGCGGGCTTTGTTTCAGAAAAAAAATACCTTGCTTAACAAAAAAAAAAAAATATATCTTTTTCTTTTCCTTTTCTTTCTTTTAATCGCGGCTCTTATTTTCTCTGGCCGCAAATAGAACAATGCGATCGGTGGTGGTCGTAACTCTTGTTCTCACCTGGACTTCGTCAGTCATCTTATCGCTAATTATCAGAATGGGTGGTCTATTTGACACAACACAATCGTCCGTCGCCTCGAAAAAAACATTTCCATGGTTCCATTCATTCTTTGGTACACATTTCTGATAACATAGTTTTATTATCGCAGCCAAAGAAAAACGGTCAGTCGCCACCTCGTGTGCGGCTTTGACACAATTAGTTTTTTATATCTATCCAAAGCCCTGTAGTTCACCTGTGTTTTGTCAATTATCAAAATAACATTTTCAATTGGATTTTTCTTTGGCTAGTCGGTCTGTAGTTTCCTTAATCAGATGTTTTCCCGCATTAGCGGTTTGTTTATGTATCCCCGATAACACAGCTCGTCGCCAGAACACAACGATTCCTTTATCCACTCAGAATTTCCCTGCCATTGTAATGACACTCTTCGCCATTTGTTACTTATCAAAATATCCTTTATCCATTGTCTCTTAGTCGTGGGTGTCCTCCTTATCATCCACGTTTGGGTCTCGCCTCTCTTTTCCTTTCTTTCCTTCCTCTCTTTCCTTTCTTTTCTTTTTTGCCTCGGTAAAGTCTGCCACAGATGTATGTATGCATGTATGAGCGTTATCGGAGGGTAGGAATGTGTTTGAAGTAATTGCTCAGTCTTAAAATGTTCCGTTCGTTTATCAAGTATTAAAAGAGGTGAGGGACAAAGGTAGAGATAATAATAACGATCACTTGACGTTTCTCAAAAGACGTGTTATACGGTCGTCTCCTTCTCTCTGGTGACAGGTGAACTTGTCCGTCTTTTATTTTGTTTGTGAGGTTTGAAAATGTCATTTGGGAATTCACTCCCGGATATGAGTCTAGCCTTTCCATTGAACGACGAACAAACTTCGCGTCGGCTCGCGAAAAGATCCGTGAAAGAATTTGTTTCTGAGAATTGAAGATTATTTGAATTTTTTTTAAATGTTTGCTAGTTTTCTATTGGCCGAAAAAAATTTCGCATCAAGGGGTGAAATTTCACGAGTTTTGATTTGGGATCGCTTTTGCGTGTGTGTTAAGCAGTTTGTAAATTCGAGTTTTTTTTTAAATTTCTAGCATAATCAATGATTCAGTGCTTAGCATTTGAATTTTAAATCTAGATCAAAGACAGATCCTTGTCTTACACACCTTTCTATTTTTGTATATTTACTGAAGTTACTGAATTTATTTTCTATCCATATACAGTATAGGTTCCAGCATTCACTGACGTATTGCAAGACAGATATCACTTCACAGTTCAGTATCCTTTCTTCCTAAGAATATTTTTCTTTTTTTTAATACTCAGCCTAGTCTTTGAAATGCAAGTTTGGCTATCACAATACGTCTTTGGATTACAGTGTCGCACTTTCCGTCGTCGATTAGAACAATTCCCAGATATTTGAATTTATATCCCTGCTTGAGTTGACTATGCCCGCAAAAAGAAATGATTCGTTAGATAAATGATGAAAAGCAGCATGTTGATGGTTGAGAAGCAAGGAAAACTGATATCGATTAGCTTACAGGAATAAGAAATCAATCAATATCTTCCCAGAAACTTTATGAAGAATCACTAATTTAGTCATACGCTTTCCTTTTTTTAAGTATTAGAGAACCTGACATATTTTGAAGAATTGCTCAGTGGAAAAGCGGGAGTTAATATCAGCAAGAGAAGGAAAAACTATTCAGTTGATGAAATTGCTCCTTAGGAGCAAAACATTATCTGGAAAGAAGATAGATAGAGAGATAGACACAGATATAGAGAGTGGGAGGGGTAACAAACAGAATAAGATAGATAGATAGATAGATAGATAGATAGATAGATAGATAGATAGATAGATAGATATTAGCAGATGGAGAATAGATAGATAAATATAAGAAGATTGAAAATAGATAGATAGATAGATAAAAATATATTGAAAATATATAGATAGATATAAACAGACTGTGATGCATAGATAGATAGATAGATAGATAGATAGATAGATAGATAAGGAACAGACTGATTTCTTTAAACGTTAAACAACTCTGCAAGTCTGGTCTTCCAACTTGATACTGAGCACTTTTAATGCGTACGATCTTAACAAATATTTTACTTTTTGTTTACTCCTGGGGTATATATATATATATATATATATATATATATATATATATATATATATATATATATATATGTACACACACACACATATATATATATATATATATATATATATATATATATATATATATATAGAGAGAGAGAGAGAGAGAGAGAGTGGTTTCCATCTCTTTTTTTTTTTCTTTACTCGTGGCTTGTTTCCCATAGGTTTCGCTTTTTTATATCTTCCTTCTTTCTCTTTGCGCGTTCTCTCTCTCTCCTTTCCTCTCTCTCTCTATCTCTAACTCCTTCCCTCTCTCTCGCTGTCGTATTCTGTTTGGACCCTCTCTCTTTCTCCCACCATCTATCTATCTATGTATCTATGTCTATCTATCTATCTATCTATCTATCTATCTATCTATCTATCTATCTTATTGTGTGTATAATCAACTCTCTCTCTCTCCACACACACACACACACACATCTGCCATTCTCTTTGTAACTATCTCTTTCCAACATCTATATATCTATTGATACAGTCTGTTTATAACTATCTCTCCCTGCAAACACACGTATACACACACATGCATATATATATATATATATATATATATATATATATATATATATATATATATATATATATATATATATATATATAAGCAAATATATGGATATAGATCCGACAGTATGAAGAAAAATATTCTGAAAAAACAAACAAAAATCCTAATATGCGATTATGCTGTTTTAATGTTTAATGTCAACGTCGGACGTTTCGGTCTAATAGACCATCTTCAGGACATATTCATAAAACACAATTAATATATACCATATACAATTCAACATGAAAAAGACGATGGACATAAAAGGAATTCCAATCCAAACAGATAACTGAAATCTTTTATAAGATCAGCATAAATATGATCACGTCGTCGTCACGTGGGCGATGTTGTGAAAGCATATTCCTATCTATCTATCTATCTATCTATCTCTCTCTCTCTCTCTATATATATATATATATATATATATATATATATATATATATATATCTTATTCTGTTATAACCACTTCCTACTCCCTACTCCTCTCTCTCTCTCTCTCTCTCTCTATATATATATATATATATATATATATATATATATATATCTTATTCTGTTTATAACCTTCTTCCCACTCCTCTCTCTCTCTCTCCTTCCCCCTCTTTGTTTTCTGTTTCTTTCTTTTCTGTTTTTGTATCTCCCTTCATTTCTTCATTTCTTTTAGAATTCGGTTCTTTCACCAATTCTTCTCTTCCAAAAGCTCTTTACACCTTTTCTCTTTTTTGTTTATAACCGCTTTTTTTCTGCTGCTTTTCACTTTTCAAACCGATTGTTTATTTAAGTTCCCTGCACTCGGAGATGGCAGAAAGAAATCGACGAAAATACTGGCCAGGCTTTTCTTTCATCTTTATTTATACACACACGTTTGTTTTAAGTGAAACACCACAGAAAATTAGAAAATAAAATAAACAAAGCAAATAAAATACAAACATACAGAGACAGACAGGCAGACAGACAGGCAGACAGATCAGTAGACAGGCCGACAACCTGCCTCTTTGTATATTTTATTACGGATGAAAATGGCGTACATTTATGAAAAACTATAAGCGAACATGATTGATTGCGATCAAAAATAGCGCCCGTTAATATTAATATACACAAAGGACGAAGGCAATTCTGATGTAAAAAGAGTTTCAAGTTATAAATATCACATAAACTCCTAACAAGAAAGAACGTGTAATTATGCATCATTGTCAGAGTCAAGACGAAGATGTTTTATCTATATACCGCTTTGTAAGATGAATGTATCTTTGATAAACATATTTGATATTGGAAATAAATAAAACGCTAGAGATTGCGACTATGATATCCACAACCAGTTCGTTTTAGAGGCTGTTGTTGGCGAGCACCGTGTCCAACATGTTTTGTATCCAGATTTCTCATTCTGCGAAACCTTTTGCTGAACAAGTCTTGGGATCGATCCCTGTACAACGATTTAACACCTATCTTGAGAGAAGTCAAAGAATCATAACTTTCACAAGGTTATTGGTGCCAAAGTGAAGGAAACGGTTTCACGGATATATTAATATATACGTCTATGTAGGTTCAATGTGACTGCGATAAATATCTTTGTTGTGGGAAATACATAATCACCTTTGCTGATGATCGGAGTATACTCTTTAGAAAATCCTTTACGTAACTTAATTTTGTTCTCAACTATCTATCTATCTATCTCTCACTCTCTCTCTCTCTCTCTCTCTCTCTCTCTCTCTCTCTATATATATATATATATATATATATATATATATATATATATATATATATGCGTGTGTGTGAGGGGTTCTGACCATACATGTCGGCTCATATATATGTGTGTGTGTGTATGTGCACGCGTGCGTGTCTGTATGTGTGCATGTGTGTGTGTGTGTGTGTGTAAGTGTGTGTCTGTACATATCTATCACAATATTATTCATTAGCTCATTCTGTTAATATCTATCTATCTATCTATCTATCTATCTATCTATCTATATATATATATATATATATATATATGTACACACGTCTGTTCATATCGACCCATCTATCTCATTCTTTTCATATGTTATCAGTCTGTTTATTTATATCTATCTATCTATCTATCGATCTATCTCGCTCCCTTTCTATATGCACACACACACACACACACACACACACATACATATATATATATATATATATATATATATATATATATATATATATATATATATCCAAGTTTCTTTTATATCTATATATTAGTATCTCATTCTGTTAATATCTATATCATGCAATTTTGTTCTATTATCTATCTATCTATCTATCTATCTATCTATATCTATCTCTCTCTCTCTCTCTCTCTCTATATATATATATATATATATATATATATATATATGTCTTTCTGTATGTCTGTCTATCCATCTATTTATCACAGTCTGTTTATCTCTCTCTCTCTATATATATATATATATATATATATATATATGCGTCTGTATGGGGGAAATAAAATAAAATAAATATGTGTTTGCTTTCTTTTTATAAAGTTCGATACTAAATGGAGACAGCTGTTTTCCGACAGATTCGCATTGAAATCCACATCGGTACAATTTAAATCGATACCAGACTTCATGCCCACCTGTCTTTTTAATTACAGGTATTTTACTTTGCGAACGTTTCACATCGATATGCAGTGACCAAAATTATGCTAGCAAGCGTCAGAAAATTCTCGTCTACGCATTCACTATTTTGCGAAGTTCTTTCCCCCCCCCCCTTACCGATTTTTCGCTCATAAATCTTCTGTCTCCTTTGTTATTCCTTTCTTTGTTGCCGTTCTTGTTTGGTTTGGTTTGGTTTACGGCATCTCAGCCTCAATGGGTTATTTATGGACGACAATTTTTATTGATGATAATTGTTTTTTAAAAAAGGATTACTGGTCATATCTTTTCAAAAATGTATTACTTGTAATATTTCTTTTCACAAAATATGTCTGGTATTAAAATCTATTTCTCACTTTTATAACTTGTTTGGAGGGTAACTATTGTTTATAGCGGGGACCCTAACAGGTACTACCACCCAGGTCAAGGTGAATCTAGGAACACCAGCAATTAAGAGGTGGTTCCACACTATTCCCAACCTTCTATCAGAGGCTTTGCTGTTGGACGTAGTTTATTGTCTTACCCAAGACGCGGACGTAATTTATCGTTTTCCCCAGGACGTGGATGTAGTTTATCGTCTTACCCAGGACGCGGATGTAGTTCATCGTCTTACCCAGGACGCGGATGTAGTTTATCGTCTTACCTAGGACGCGGATGTAGTTTATTGTCGTACCCAGGACACCTTACCGTTCTTCTTCGGTTGGTTTATCTATTAATTTTTAATTCTTCGGAATTGTACAACAGTGAGCAGCAATCTGCCAGTTACTGCCAGTTACTGCCCAAATGCATAAAATATCATTTTTTACAGTCATGTAGACGACCCGAGTGACACTCGAGGTAGAAGGTTAGTGATTAAGTGGAAATGTACATTTTATGAGGATATGTGGGGGAAATAACAGTTAACACTAAGCTTGAACCATCAAGATTGTAGTGAATGGTGAATCATCTTTTTGGAAGTCTGTTTTACAAAGCAGCGATTCGTGAGAAGAATCTTTTCGATTGGGACGTATCTCTAACTAATGGAATACAAAAGGTGATTCGCTAAAATGTGCCTGGTACTGCGGGTCTTAGCAGTGAAGGTCTGAATTAGTAGAAGTAAAAAAGATGTAGCGATAAAGTAGCGCGATGTTTGCAATATTTGGTCTGGCAAAACATGTTAGGAGGGTGGAAAATAATACATCACCCGCAAGGACGCGGTGACGCTTTTGGAAAATATCAAGACGAAATGATGAAAACCACATATTCTATTCTAGTTCCTTTCTTATCGCTTTTCTTTACTGATATGCTAAGGAATTCTCATCGCCCTCTGTCTGTTTTTGCCATTAATTCGTTGACAACAGCATATCGTTTACACTATTTACATTATTCGGTCCGCCTATTGTCCTCATTTTTGTCGCCATATTTATCACGTTTCGGCCCTTCAGTATCTGTCTCTATGTCTGTGATGAGGTATTATGTACACTATTTACATTATTTGGACTATTGTACTCATCTTTGTTGCCATATTTATTACAACATTTCGGCCCTTCCGTATCTATCTATATTTCTGAGATGAGGTATTATGTAAACTATTTACATTATTCGGACTATTGTCCTCATCTTTGTTGCCATATTTATTACAACGTTTCAGCCTTTCAGTATCTGTCAATATTTCTGAGATGAGGTATTATGTACACTATTTATATTATTCGGACTATTGTCCTCATCTTTGTCGCCATATTTATTACAACGTTTCGGCCTTTCAGTATCTGTCTATATTTCTGAGATGAGGTGTGACGTCACCCCGGGGTCGCGGCGCACAATGTGACGTCTGCCTGGCCGCGCTCGCCGTGCTGTCCTAGTCGCGGCGCCAATTGTGACGTCAGCCCGTCTGTCTCCGCGCCGTCGCCGTCTTATCCTGTCCTGTGACGACCAACTGGCTTGGTATTGGTCGCGGCACCAAATGTGACGTTCTAACCCTTTGCTGATTCGGATCGGAATCTGGTTAGATTCGGCATCAGCCTTGTCGTTCCCAGCTCGCCTCCAACGTCTGGTTACCGAAGTAACTGTTTTTATTTCTAGTCCAACCTACCCACGTTGTGATTTGATCTTAGGTAGACGAAATCAATCAGTCGCCGGGCCGTAATGCAAGTCGAGTCCAAACAAGGGTAATACTGCACAAATATATGCAAAAGAAAAGAAAGTAACAACCCGAAAAGTTCAAATGTGTTAAAAAAGGATAACAATATTTTATATCTGGTTGTTGAATACAGGACTGGATCTTCCTCCCAAACCGCTAATATGGATTCGTGACACTTTGTCTTTGTTAGGCGAGTCTTAACATCTTAAGTTGCTCTTCAATAACTGGTTTTTGTTGTCTTCAGGCGATATTCGCAAAACTGGTTTTGGTGGTGTGAGTCTAAGCCGTTCTTCAAAAATAAATTGTTCTTGGTTAGAAGTTGAGGTCTAGAATGCATGGATCTTAAGTCAGCTTTCTGCGAGACGGGTCTTCAGAGCTCACAGCTCAACTGCAACTGATTGCCTGTCTGTCTTTTCAGCCCCAGCTGCGAATTCAACTCAACTCAACTCCAACTGCCGTCCACTCGCTGCGACTCTGCTTATATGGACGCCGACCAAAACCGGGGTGGGCCTGTCGGGGTTTGAGGATCCTTGATAATTCTAAATCCGCATTAAGAATTTTCTTTGTTTATGAGAATCGTCCTCCCAAATTCTTCCTCTCTAATATGGGTATCTAACCCAATCCCTTCAGAGGCTTCAACAGGTTTCCCCTCTCTCGCAAAGTAGCATCTCACACAGATCCCTTCAGGGGCGTCAACAGGCCCCCTCCTTCTTCACATGATTACCTTCGCCTACCGCTCACGCCACCATTCAGCCAATGAACGCTCAGCGGCGTGGGTGTTTGCTAATTATCGCTCAAAGAAAAAAAAAATTATCTTCTTTCCTTTTGTTTTTTTTCTTTCTCTTTCTCTTCTTCCCGACAACAAACCCCAATGACTCTTATCTTAACAGAACGTCACATGGAGTTCGTCAATCGAGATTTTTTTCCAGCATCAAGTGGGTGGTCATCTGGTGACTTTGAACCCTGGTGCCAATTATTCGTTCCGATAAAATAATTTTGCTATCATGGCCAGCTCCGACACAAAACAGGTGCTCTTCTCAAAAACAAATGATGTCTCCTTGGGGGTGGTCTAGCGGACATTTATCGCGGTCAGAGCACGACCCAATTAATTTTTTATCTCTTAGCATTCTGCCTTGTAGGCCACCTGACCGATTTGAAATTTTCATTACCGCCATGGGTAGGCGACTGTCTTTTATTCGGTGCGTCGTCATAGATTAAATTAAATCCGGTATCTTACCTTCTTCGCTCATGAAAATAAAATCTTTACCACTTTTCTTTGTTAGAAAAAATAACATCGCTCAGTGTCTTTTCGTGATAGATTCTTATCACCTAATTAAATTCTCGCCTTTTTTTTCTTTTTTCACGCAACTCTAAATAGTATCACAGAGGTATTATGTACACTATTTACATTATTCGGACTATTGTCCTCATCTTTGTCGCCATATTTATTACAACGTTTCAGCACTTCAGTATCTGTCTATATTTCCGAGATGAGGTATTATGTACACTATTTACATTATTCGCCATATTGCACTCATCTTTGTCGCTATATTTTTTACAACGTTTCGGCCGTTGTACGCTGCGGCTTTCTTCAGGTGTTTGGAATGTCGAACTGAACCCTTTATTTCGCTCACTGTGATAGACTCTTCTAGTTCCACGTGCCATGTCAAATGGATGTCAGTTATCTCCTGTTAATTCCCTTCTCCAAGTTCTCCACCGCCTTAACCATGTATGGAGTAATCTTTAATCTGACCTATTTTAAGGAAAAGATAAGGGTTTTGAAATAGGAGAATCCGTCATATTGCCACTCAAGGTTAGATATAGAATTATTTTTTATTTAAGTCATACACGTGGAGGATAGAAAAAAGTATATATATATATATATATGTGTGTGTGTGTGTGTGTGTGTGTGTGTGTGTGTGTGTGTGTGTGTGTGTTGAGTTGTGGGATCTGGCAAGACACAACACTTAACTCGACTGAGTCAATCGGGGTAGTAGTATGCAATACTCAGCTATACAAGTCAGTGCAATAGCATCGTCTTCAGGATTTACCCTAGATCCCCACACACGGGAGGATGTGGCACAAGGCCTTTTTTTTTTTCGTAGATCCCGTATACATTGAGTCGGGTAGCTATCTACTTCCCCAGACGAGAATCTGCCCCTTGGCAAGTCTCGTCTGGGTTCCTTTCCGCCCGGAGGCATAGAGTCGACAAGCAGAGTTCAATGTAATCGTTAACTCCTCTCGCAGGATTATCTTCTCCTCCTAGACAGTTACCAAGGATTACTTATCGTGTATGGATCAGTCCATTCATGATAGTAAGGAGGGTAACTGGTTCTTTCTACAACAATATATATAATTCCAATAACGAAGACTGTATATTGGGAGTTGGGTAGAAATTCCATACAAAGAAAATTAAGAGGAGCTGAAAGAAGAGAAAAGGAAAAAAAGATAAATAAGCGATAAAAAAAAACGTTGCTGAGATGAAGCAAGAAATCATTGAAATCAACATTTTTTTTTTGGTTTCTTTTTCTTTCAATTTGTCATGCAGCTGAAACTAGCTGTCGATGGAGGGAATTTTCCCGCCAAAGCTTCTTAGGATCTAATGAAACGTGCAATGGCAATTTACTCAAAATAAACGCAAAATAAAAGCAGAAGTATTTGATCAAATAAGAAAGGGAGATAAGAAAGAACATCAAGTGAAGGTCTTTTGTTGTTTGCCTTGTAAAATCCCATCACTGCAATGTTTTATTTCGGCATTTTTATTTCCTTTGATAGTTTTTTTTTAAACTAATTTTTATTTTGTTTTTGTTTCTTTATTTTCATTTCTTTTCTTTCATTTTTCTTTTTTTTTGATAGATTCGTATTTTGTTCGTTTCTTCGGCTCTCTCCCTTTATCTTTATTCATTTTGTATCCCTAACGTTAATCCTTCTTTCTTTCTTTCTTTCTTTATTTATTTATCTATTTTCTTTCTTTCTTTCTTTCTTTCTTTCTTTCTCTGCTTTTCTTTCTTTCTCTCCCAATTTTTTCATTCCTTCTATCTGCGCTGTTTTTTTTTCTTTCTCAGCTTTTGTTTGTTTCTTTCTCTGTTTTTTTTTTTTTCTTTCTTCCTTCCTTTCTTTGTTTCTTTATTTCTCATCCTTTTCGTGCTTTCTTTCTTTCTCTGTTTTTTTTCTTTCTCTTCTTTTGTTCTTTCGTTTGTTTTTCTTGCTTTGTGGCTCACTTTTGCTCACGTTTTTCTTTCTTTTCTTTTTTCTTTCTTTATTTCTTTCTTTCTTTCCGTTCTTTCTTTCTCTGCAGAAGTATTAGATTGTTGCAAAAATAATAACGTAATAATGTCGTTTTTTGACGTCAAAAAACGACATTATTACGTTTATTTTTTTTCTCTTTTTTTTCTTTCTCGTCTTTTGTTCTTTTTTCTCTGTTTTTCTTTCTCTGTGTCTCACTTTTACTCGTCTTTTTCTTTCCTTCTTTCTTTCTTTCTTTCTTTCTTTCTCATATTTTCCGTTCTTTCTTTCTCTGTATGTTTTGTTTCTAACTTTTTTCTTTTTGTATCTCGTTCTTTTTGCTTTCTTTCTTTCTTTCCCCTTTTTCCTTCTTTCTGTCTTCCTCTGTTTTTCATTCTCAGTTTTTGTTTTTACTTTCTCTATTTTTCTTTCTTTGTTTCTCACTTTTTCTTAACTTTTTCTTTCTTTCTCTATTTTACATTCTTTTTTCTTTCTTTCCCACCTTTTTCGCCCTCTCTTTCTTTTTCGATTTTTCTTTCTTTTCTACCTATTTCGCCCTCTCTTTCTTTCTCGATTTTTCTTTTTTTTTCTTTCTTTCCCAGCTTTATCGCCCACTCTTTCCTTCTCGATTTTTCATTCTTTCTTTTTGACAAACAAATGTAGTACTACGTCTATAACTAGCCAATCGTCCCTTTCAGTCCTTGACAGTACTCAAAAGCGGTATTAGGGCCGATGAATTATTTAAACATTTACATTCTCTTTCCTACTGACGAAACTGTGCAATTCTCTCGCTAACCTACCGTTATTTCCACAGAAAAGAGTTTAACAAGCTAAATTGCTTAGTGCAACCACTCCAGAAAAGATCCGTCATGCCACATAGATAGAATCGAATCATCCTCATTGCCCTCATATTCCATTAGTATGGAAGAAGTTACATTCCGACTGTTTCTTTCCAAGAGCCGTTATCTTGTTGTGTAACATATTCCTAAGAGAATGCTTCCCCATTCACTATAATTTTAATCTTGTCTTGTCTAGAGTCAACCATTATCATTCTTCATTCTTTAAGCATTTCACCCCAAGCAAGGATGGAGTACTACCAACAGGCATGGGATTACAGAGAGTGAAATTGGGAGAAAAAAAAAACAGGCTAGGGGGGTGGGGTATTGAGGAAAAGATGAAATATGAACGAGATTCAAGAAGAGAAAAGATAGCAGTTGACGCTGCATTTAAATTTTTGAAGATCGTTGTTATCAGTAAAGGAAGTAAGAGGAATGAAGATCCACAGTCAGGAAGTGCGAGAAAATAAACTGTTGGAGTAGAAGTGGCGGTTACATTGAATTATTTCAACAGTAAAACGGTGGGACCTAGATGACAATCTAGAATCATTTTTATATTCATCTAGTTGGAGCACCCGGGAAGAAAAACTCGTTAGAACAGTTGCCATGAAAATATTTGTAAAAAAGACCGAGGGAAGCCACATCACATCTGTGCGAAATTTACTGTAATCGACATGCCTGATAAGGATCGACTACATTGCAGACCCTTCATAATCTGCACTACTTAACCCTTCCTCTTACCTACGTAAAACGTTAACCATTCGTTACCCGCCTACCTTGAGCGCATCTTGGGATTTGTATATAATAAAAATAGTAAAAAATAGTATAAAAGAAGTGTTGGTATATTAGATACTATTAGAAATAATAATGGATATGCATTAATTTTCTGGTGGACCTTATACATCTTGTGAGCGAAAGTATTTTACGTAGCCCATGGACACTTTCATATGGAGGGCAAGTCGATCAGAAATACCTAAACTGTCAGCAGTATGGAACTGCTTTCTTAGAAAAATGGTTAAAAAAGAAAAAGTCTTTACTCGAATGAAACCTATAGCTCTTAGCGAGGATTTCAAACCTTGTGGACTGAGGCTACCTCTGATTTTGCTTATGATTTTTAGACAAAAAAAATGCGTATTATAGATGGAGAATTAAGGTATATATTCGGGAGAGAAGAATTGCCTAGTATAACACAATGAACGATCCATTCCTAGCTGCAGCCGTAGCAATTGATTCAATATAATAAAGGGTCTTTCATTAAGACGGATCAAATTCAGTAGTAAATAAATCAGGGTTACTGGTAGAAAATTATTTATTTCTGTATTGGATCATGTTATTCAAGTCATGGCAATTATGTGTAAAAAATCGCTAAAATCTGTAAGGAAAAGAAAAGAAAAGTCATTAGACGCTTAAACTTAACTCACATTAAAATTGGTACAAGTTATTGGAACACCCTTTACAATTGTTACATCTGTGTTAAAATATTTTGCCTAATTTTAGTGATATTTTCAACAGCCCTCATTAACTTTTAATTATCTCCGTGAAGCTACTTTAGTATCTCCAATGGAGACATTCATTCCCTCATTAACTTGTTATTTTCTGTTTTTCAGCATTTATTAGATCCTTTTCATTAATCCATTTTCAATATATATAAGGGTGTTTCATTAAGACGGATTATATATAAGGGTGTTTCATTAAGACGGATCAAAGTCAGTAGTACATAAATCAGTGTTATTGGTGAAAATTTCTTTATTTCTTTATTGGATCATGTTAATTAATTCATGGCAATTATGTGTGAACAATAAAATCGCTCAAATATTCACTAAATCTGAAAGAAAATGAAAAAAATCATTAGACGCTTAAACTTAACTCACATTAAAATTGATCCAAGTCATGAGAACACCCTTTATTTCTCTCTTATGTCAACGTTAGCCCGTGAATTTGTAATGAGTCAACTCCTGGAGTTTTTAGGCTAATCTATGCTGCGGGAAAGCAAAGCAAGTTCTGAGGGTTCATGATTACTGGAATATTTGTTAAGGCTTTAGAGATCAGATACGCGCAATTTTTAATACTAGGGTTCTTTTTGCAATAATTATCTTTATTAACACTCTCTTCTAAATCATTTCTATACATCAGATTCACAATTTTTCAAAAAGTTCTTGGTAATTAAGATCCGCTTCGAATTTTATGTTACATGCATTTAACATTTTTCTATGTCAAGTTTAGTGTATTACTTAGAAGCTAGGATTTATTTACTTCATTTAATACAGTTTTTTCTGTTTCTCTTTTCAGCATTGTACTCAATACTTGGAGTGTCTTTCTATTTTACACGGAATTTAGGATTCTTTATACTGCAGACTTATCTCCCTTGCTACTTGATTGTATCTCTCTCTTGGATCTCCTTCTGGATCAACAGAGATGCAGCACCAGCACGAGTCCTTCTTGGTGAGTACACTATTTTTTCCTCTTACATATCAATCAATAAAGTCCAGAATTCCTCTCGGATTCTCCTGACTCGTCCCTTCTAGCCATTTCTATCTGTTATGGGACCTACCTTTATGGACTAAGTGGACTCGTCCTATTACTGTATATACGGGGAGATTATGCCTCTCAAGAGAGCTGTCTACAGTTGACCTGTTCCAGCCAAACAGTTGAAATCTCTTCCTTCGAGCGAAGAGGAACCCGGACGAGGCTCCGTCGAAGGGCAGAGTCTCGTTCGGGGAGGTTGACTGCCCCTGAACCCGTTTATGCGGTTTCAAAGAGGGATTATTTTTGGCCGAGCCTACGGGCTCGGACATCCCACGATAAACCGTCCTTGTGCCACATTTAACTTTCGTGGGAGTTAGTTAAATATCTCTGTCTACAGTAGGCCTGTTACAGCTAAACAGTCGAACTCTCTGCCTTCGGGCGGAGAGTAACTCGGACGAGGCTCCGCCGAAGGGCAGTGTCTCGTTTGGGGAGGTTGACTGCCACTGAAACCGTTTATGCGGTTTCAAAGAAGGATTACTACGGGCTCGGAGATCCCACGTTAAACCCGGTCTTGTTTCACATGTAACTCTCATGGCGGGGTAACTAAATATCGCTGTCTACAGTTGAGTTGACTACTGTATTTTGCCGTCAGTCGGACGTGCAACACTTTTGTATTCGTTCTTTTTGTTCAATAATATCTTTTCACTAAATTGCTGAGTTCGAATTTTCTTTCGGACTTATTCTGGGTCCACCACGCTATCAGACATCACTGTCGGCAGGTCTTCCAGTTGGAAGCCAAAGTATTCTACAAGTTGGTCAATGTAGGCATATATATATATATATATATATATATATATATATATATATATATGTATGTACGTATGTATGTATGTATATATGTATGTATGTATGTATATATTAGTGTATACAAGATACTTTATTGAAAATAATACTTTGCTTAATTTTAGTACATTTCGCTTTCTTTTTTCTGGTTTCCAGTAGAAATTCAAATGTAAACATACCGATACATCGCGTATTTTCTGCTTTTAGAAGCTATTATCAAAGAGATATTGCTAATAAACTTGTAATTACATGTACTCATTCCTGACTATATATATATATATATTAAGAAATGGACAAGGTCCGACAATTTAGTTATTAAAGACATTTTTATGTTTAACGTTGTTATTTTATAGATACAAGTATTTAAGCAAATGCTCTGTTTATGATAAACAGTATTAAATAACATTTACCGGCCTGAATGTCCGAGAAATTTTCATAGAAAATATTCGTTCTTTGACAGGGTGTGTATGTATGTATGTGTGTGTGTGTGTATGTCAAATGTGTGTATATATATATATATATATATATATATATATATATATATATATATATGTGTGTGTGTGTGTGTGTGTGTGTGTGTGTGTGTGTGTCTGTGTGTGCGTGTTGTGGTCGGATCCACCTAATTTGCATAGTGGGAGTACCGACCATATAAATATGGTTGGTACCGGGAAGAGAGGGAGGAATCAAGAGATTTAACGAGAGACTCTGCCCGATTGCGACTCAGTCAACACATTCTCCAGGAACTGTCTTACCAGGAATATACAAAAGACTATATGTAAATATTGTGTACACTTTTTTGTTTCAATACATTTTGTTCTAAGTACATTTTGTGTTGCATTATTATTCCATGCATTAGTCAAGTTTCAACAATATGTGAATTTCTTGATGTTCTCAGCTCAACCAAGACATCAACGAAAATATACGTATATATTTGCCCGCAAACGCTTCCATTTGAGTTATTAATTTTAAAGAAATTTTACGTTTTTTGGCAATGAGTTTCCACATGGACTAGGTTACATTAGGGACGAGGTTGTTTTCAACGTTCAACCTGTGTAGTTAACTGAGAGATGTTGCGTTTAACAATGGCATATTATTCTTATCATGAGCAGTTAGATATAATTTTTATATACAGCCGCGCGAATGGTAATAGACGCCTGGCTGCCTGACCTAGTCATCACTCTTTCTTGCTGTTTATCGTCGCATTGTTGAGGCAGGATCCGTGCCACCACCAACTATGGAGCGTACACATGAAAATCACATTCTACATGCTGACGGAGACGATCCAGGTATCAGAATACGTCAAATGGCCGTAGTATGTCGTACATCTCAAAGTAGCGCATGGAGCGTACTTCAAGTGCAGCTCTTGTATATGTATCTTTTGCAACGTGCCGTGCGCTGGGTCTTTCGCGCTCTGAGCACAAAACTTTGGGACAATTTCTGCCAATAGTTTCTTTCCGAAACTGCTGATCTTATGTTTGCCTCTTCAGTCATGTTTACGAATGAGGCAACATTTAGAAGATATGGAATAACAAATTTACCCAACCAACATTTGTGATCGGTTTGTAATCACCATGGTATAATGTAGGCCAGACCCAAGCATCAGTTTACGATTCATGTGTGGGCTTGTATTGTAGCCGCCTCTCTAGTAGGTCCGTATGTTCTACTACCACGTCTCACGTATTTCGCGATGAATGGCTGACATTTACTATGCAAGGTGTATATTTAGGACAGTACAGTTTCCATTTTTCCCTGACCTCAATCCTTTGAGTTTTATCGATGGAGAAACCAAAATTGTTTTATGCATCAGATATTAATGATGCAGAGACGTCTCATCAACGTGTCATAGGGGTCTGCAAAACCATTCGGCGCCTTATGGGAGTATTTGAAAGGGTCCGGCAGCCAATGTTCCTACAGGTCCATGCATTTTGTAGAAACAAGGGGAGGACATTTTGAACGTATGTTATGTGTTGCTGTGTTGTGGTAAAACCTCAGCCATTTGGACATATATTTTACCTTTTATTTGATAATATAATTGAAAAGATTTGTTTATTAAGACATTTCCAGGTTGATATTCTGTTCTCATATTTTTCTATGACGTGTGCAAGCGTGTGTAGAAATAAGTGGAGGACATTTTGAATGCCTGTTATGTATTGAGGTAAAATGATTTCCTTTGAGGCATATGTTTACATGGACTATATTACAGTTTTTGGTGTCAGAAAGCCGTACTAAATATTATTTTTGGAAGGTGGCTTGGATTGTATATTTAACTGTGTCTACCATAAAATTTAATTTTAATGAGTCTAATATGAAGGATTTCCTTACAAATGTTTATATGGATTTTATCCTGGATTACATGTCAGGAATCCGCTCCCAAAGTTTGTAAAAATATTTTGATATACAATGAACGTGGATATTCGATTATAGATTTACCAAAGTTTTGACATTATTTCAGCTTTGACATTATTTCAGCTTTGACATTATTTTTAAGGGATATTTTTTTTTATCCACGATTATTTTGAATGTATTTATTCGTTTTGTTTATATATATAAATATTGAGAGAGAGAGGAGCTTTTATATATATATATATATATATATGTGTGTGTGTGTGTGTGTGTGTGTGTGTGCGTGTGTGTGTGTGTGTGTGTGTATTGGAGATAATTTTTTGTAAGTCAAAGTCTTATTACATGCTCAACAATATTTTCAACCTCTGCCAACAGGAAAAATTAGCAATTATGACATTTCCGGTTCCAAAGAAACTTTGAACTTGGAATCCGAAGTCTTAAGTCCTTCCTTACATATTAGAAATTTACTCTTAAGCACAAATGAGACTTGAAAAAATTTTTTTACATTTCAGTTTACCTCACAAATACATTTAAAGCAGTCTTGCCTTTCTTTTCTTTCTTTCTTTTTCTTCTTCTTCTTCTTCTTCTTCTTCTTCTTCTTCTTCTTCTTCTTCTTCTATTACACCCAACGTCGTGCGTTTGATTATTTAGTTTTGAAAATAATGCTACAACGTTCGTTAGTTAAAAAAAACAAACTAAAGTGTTAAAAGGTCATTTGATAAAAATCGCCTTAACATCACGTAAGACTGAAAACCAAATTAGCGGATTCAAGTGACCTCCTGATTTCTAAAGTATATATGGCAGATGCATAGATTTTCATGTTTTCAGTGTTTAATCTTCCTAAGATGTAAATAAATATATAAATAATGGCACCCGAAATTTTCAAGAACCAGTTCTATAAAGGCAGGTAATCTTTCGTAACCTATTCTGCTTATTTTCCTTCTGAATCTGAGAATGGAAACAAATCACTTTATAAAATCAAAAAGAATTAAACCACTTTGATAAGTTAATTGAAAACATTTATTTTTTAAGACATTTTCTGATTGAAATTCTGTTCATATTTCTGTTCTGTAATAAAATGTTTTTGATTCCAGTGTTATCAGCTGTGTTATAGTTTCTTAATCACATTTGAGCTGAATCGTTGCACTTGCAAACTTCCAATCGAAGACCTATCAAATATATGACTGGAGGATTTAACACATTTTTAACATCAATAAGATTTCTTTTGTCAGAATAAATTATATTAATCACACAAAACACTACTTCAGTTTCCGGATAACATTATATATATATATATATATATATATATATATTATGGACTCTCCCGTCGATTTCAACGTATGAGGATCTGAGAGCTTAATTAATAAAATCTTGTTAAAACCTTGCCTGTTAGGGGAACTACCGCATTGGTTGGATAGAAATTAATAAGAAAATACTGATTTTGGAAAAGATAACTACAGGTATCTGTCTATATTTCTGAGATATTATGTACGCTATTTTCATTATTCGGACTATTGTCCTCATCTTTGTCGCCATATTTATTACAACGTTTCGGCCTTTCAGTATATGTCTATATTCCTGAGATGAGGTATTATGTAAACTATTTGCACTATTCGGACTATTATCCTCATCTTTGTCACCATATTTATCACAAGGTTTCGGCCCTTCAGTATGTGTCTATATTTCTGAGATAAGGTATTATGTACGCTATTGACATTATTCGAACTATTTTCCTCATCTTTGTCGACATATTTATTACAACGTTTTGGCCCTTGTACGCTCTGGAGTTTGGGAAGTCGAACTGAACTCTTTATTTCGCTCACTGTTCTAGTTCCACGTGCCATGACTAATAGATGTCAGTTATCTCGTGTTAATTCCTCTCTTCAATTTCTCCACCGCCTTAACCAGGTATTGGACTCACACTGTTTGGGTCCTGCCACTGGATCTAACCAACGCCTTTATCCACTGTGCCATGTGTCTTTGAGGAATAGACACGGCATGTGGAACTAGAACAGAACAGAATCCTCCTGTCTTTGTAATTTGGCTATCCCAAAACGTGTTCGGATCTCACTGTCGCATTTTACCATCCTCTCTCAGAACATTTCCCTCAAAGTTAAATTTCCGCATTTCTGCTTTATTATAGGGTCCCCTACCGGTAAATTGCATTTCCGGCTCATCCTTTTACTGATTACCATGCATTCTGTCTTCTTGTATTTTATGCTTAGTCCCTTCTTCTTTTTCTCCTTCGCTACGTTCTGTATGAGGTTTGTAATTTCTTTTCCGTGTCTGCTATCAGTACTGTGTCACCTTGGGACGTCACTCCGTCTGCCTCTCTGCCCTGTCGCCGTTCTATCCAACGACGACCAATGTGACTTGGTATTGGTCGTGGCACCAAATGTGACGTTCTAACCTTTTGCTGATTCGGATGGGAATCTGGTTAGATTCGGTATCAACCTTGTCGTTCCCAGATCGCCTCAAACGTCCGGTTAGCGAAGTAACTGTTTTGATTTCTAGTCTAACCTACCCACGTCCATCAGTCGCCGGGCCGCAATGCAAGTCGAGTCTGAACAAGGGTAATACCGCACAAGTATATGTAAAAGACAATAAAGTAACAACTTGAAAAGTTCAAATGTGTTAAAAATGAATAACAATATTTTATATCTGGTTGCTGAATACAGGACTGCCTCTTCCTCCCAAACCGCTAATATGGATTCGTGACACTTTGTCTTTGTTAGGCGAGTTTTTCGATAACTGGTTTTTGGTGTCTTCATGCGATATTCGCAAAACTTGTTTTGGTGGTTTGAGACTAAGTCGTTCTTCAAAAATAAATTGTTCTTGGTTAGAAGTTGAGGTCGATAATGCGTGGATCTTAAGTCAGCTTTCTGCGAGGCGGGTATCAGAGCTCACAGCTCAACTCTGCAAATGCCTTCCTGTCTGTGACTCCAACTCAACTCTAATTCTCTTACACTTGCTGCGACTCTGCTTATATGGACGCCGACCAAAGCCGGGGTGGGCTTGTCGGTGTTTGAGGTTCCTTGATAATTCTAAATCCACAAAAAGGTTCTTCTTTGTTCTCGGATAGGAAAAATTTATAACTTTCCATTTTTGGAAGTCCTTAATTTCTACTTAAAGGGCATCGTCCTCCCAGGTGTTTTTTCCAAAACAATGACATCTCCGGAAGATAGTTAATAGTTTATTCTTTCCCCCTCTCTCTTGGGTGGCCTAATTAACATTATCTCTTAGCATTCTGTCTTGTAGGCCACTTGACCAATTTGAAACTTTCATTATTGCCATGGGGAGATGGCTATATCTTAATCACCGCCCCGTAACATAAATTAATTCGACAGATCCGGTATCTTACGAATCTCCTATCTTCTGCGTGAGAAAAGGGATACTTTTCTTTTCGCAAATGAAAATAAAATCTTTACCACTTTTCTTTGTTAGAAAAAATAACATCGCTCAGTGTCTTTTCGTAATAGCTTCTTATCACCTAATGTAATCCTCGCCTTTTTTTTCACGCAAACCTAAATAGTGTCAAAATCTGCATATTTTATGTTATTAAGATTGTGATCGTCATTGACGAATCCCGAGAGGACATCCAATTCTCTCAGAATTGCCTCGTTCTCTTGGTTGAATAGGTCCGGTGAGAAGACACATCCTTGTCTTCCGATCTTAACGTCGCCCTTACCGTCGCCTGTCAAAACTTTAATATTTAATGTATTTTCATTAATATTTTATTAATATTTTTAATATTCATTCCTTATATTCCTACAATATTAATAGCATAACTGTTTAAGTTCAGTATGTGTACCAATGGCATTCAATATGTTTCTCTAGACATGAATACTTGAAAAAAAATATTTCCGTTGAAATCAAGTACGTAAAATTACTTTTTACGCCAAGTAAATTTAGTTTATGTTTAGATTTAAAAGTCAATGCAGGGTCTAGCCAAGATCTTTTTTACTTTTCGATTCATATGTTTCCCAAGATATATTTTATTCTTGGTTCATACCAAACAGACAAAAAGAAAAAAAAAAATCGCGTTTCCGCACCAAACTTATTGAATAGTCTGAAAGCTGAAGCAATAATATGGTAAGATTAATTTTAACCGGCATTATATGCTAGAATACAGCAGCATGTGCAAGTTTCTGGAAAAAATAATAAAATTATAAAAAATTCCAAGAATACGTAAATTCAAGCGTTAACCTTCTTATAGAAAGAAATAAACAAAATACTGGTAAAGAAAATTGTTATTGCTGGCTGATGATAGATAGATAGATAGATAGATAGATAGATAGATAGATAGATAGATAGATAGATATTGGAAAATAGATAGATCTGAAAACATAAATATAGATAGATCGATTGATAGATAGATACAGCAGTTGGACAAAATAATTGGAACACTTGTGAAATTCAAAGAAAATTGATTTAATATGGATTTGGTCCTCCTTTAGCATCACTGACAGCTTTAATACGTCTAGGAATGGAATCATACAGCTTCCTGACTTTATCCAGAGGAATTTTCAGTCATTCTTCCATTAAAACCTTCTCCAGCTCTTTACGACACGACGGTGGAGGATAGCGGCTCCTAATCTGTTGCTCCAAAATGCACCACAAATGTTCAATAATATTGATATCTTGAGATTGGGGAGGCCACTCCATGTGTTCTAGCTCACTTTCATGCTCTTCATACCAATTCTTAACCACTCGAGTGGTATGTATTTGAGCATTATCTTCTTGGAAGATGCAGTCACCATCAGGGAATAAAGTCTTGGCCATTGAATGAACATGATCTCCCAAAATATTCAGGTAATATTTGCTGTTGATTCTACCATGCAGGACAACTATTGGACTGAGACATTTCCATGATATGGCAGCCGAAACTATCACTGATCCACCTCCATGCTTCACTGTTGGAAGAAGGCAGTCAGGGCTGTAAGCTTCTTTGGGCTGCCTCCACACATAAACTCGCCCTGAAGTTGGAAAAAGAGAAAAACTGGACTTGTTTGAGAATTTGACTTGCTTCCATTGGTCTGCAGACCAGGCATTGTTATCTCTGCACCACTTCAACCTTATTCCAATATTTCCAGTGGAGAGAATGTTATGCAGCCTTATGGAGCTCACAGTGAACAGTTTTAGTAGAAACTGAACTATTCAGATGGTTATTCAACTCAGCAGTCACTTTGCCGGCATTTGTCCGATGATTATTTGCCACATTGCGTTTCAGTGCACGTCAGTCCCTGTCAGTAAATTTGCAAGTCTGGCCCTAATTGCTACAATTGCTAGAGGTCTTGCCCTGTTTCTCGAATTGCATCATTATTCTTGATATGTTAGCTCTTGAAAAACCAAACAGTTCAGCAACCTTAGTGATTGAGGCTCCTGCCACGCGAGCTCCAACAATTTGCTCTTTCAAACTCGGAGAGGTCACGCATTAACATAAATTTTACTAAATTCTAAAAATAAATAAGACAAAGACAGTAAATTAGATAAATAAACGTATTTACAATAGACATAACCTGCAATTATGAAGTTATAGTTAAAATTCTTAATATAAGAGGTCTTTGAAATATAGGAGTGGATTTTGCAACTGTTCCAATTATTTTGTCCAACCCCTGTATATATTAATATATTAATGTAATTGGTAGATAGGTAGATCTGAACAGATAAATATAGATAGATATGAATAGACTGAAATAGATTAATATGAAGAGACTCTGACATATATATATATATACATATATATATATATATATATATATATATATATATATAGATATAGATATAGATATAGATAGATAGATAGAAATGAATAGACTGGAATATATAGATTCATATGAAGAGATTGTGATGATAGATAGATAGATAGATAGATAGATAGATAGATAGATAGATATTAGTTAATCATAGATCTGAACAGATAAATATATAGCAAGTGGTGGTGACAGGATCTCAGCCATAGTCTTAAAAAATGTTCTCCTGAGCTGGCATTATTTCCCTCAAAACTCTAAATCTTGCCTCAACGATTGTTGCTTTCCAACCTGTTGGAAATTCACCTCTGTCGTCCCGGTCTCTAAGAACACAGAAGACCCTTCTGGCCCAACCAAACATCGTCACATCAGTCTCTTACCACTATTCGGCAAAGTCATCGAGAATTTAATCATTGCCGAATTACTTCATCGTCTCACCTCCCACGATCTGCTTTCTGACAAACAATATGGTTTCCGCTACGCTACAACTGAATATGTATACCAAGATCTTGATAATAACGGCGAAGCTCTAGCTGTTGTTCTAAATATATCGAAAGTGTTTGACAGGGTTTGGAATGCTTCAGGGATTCGGTAATGCAGGACAATTATCTAATTTAATCCAGTCATTCCTGTGTCTGTCTATATTTCAGAGATTATGTATTATGTACACTGTTTACATTATTCGGACTATTGTCCTCATCTTTGCTGCCATATTTATTACAATGTTTTGGCCCTTCAGTATCTGTCTATATTTCTGAGATGAGGTATTATGTACACTATTTACATTATTCGGACTATTGTCCTCATCTTTGCTGCCATATTTATTACAATGTTTCGGCCCTTCAGTATCTGTCTATATTTCTGAGATGCGGTATTATGTACGCTATTTACATTATTCGGACTATTGTCATCTTCTTTGTTGCCATCTTTGTGCTGTTGTACGCTCCGGCATTCTTCAGTTGTTTGGAATGTCGAACTGAACCCTTTATTTCGCTCACAAGGATGGAGCGGTCTAGTTCCACGTGCCAAGTTTAATATATGTCAGTTATCAGTTATCTCTTGTTAATTCCCCTCTCCAAGTTCTACACGAACTCACTCTTTGTGTCTTGTCACTGCATCTATCAAACGCGTTTATCCACTGTGCCCTGTGTCCTTGCGCACATATGTGTAGGAATTTCTGGATATTATAAGCCTAATGTTTTCAGCAACCATTTTTTTAGCGCGCATATTGCAATTTTTGCTGTTATCATTGAATATTTTTTTACCAGATCTCATATTGCAATATTTGTTGTTATTATCGCTTTCTCTGGCACTACTTATTACTGGTTACCACGTTGTATTCATTTTTATGCTTGGTCGGCTCAAGAGATTTTTGTGTCCTAGCATATGTGCCGTTTCCTTAATAATGTAAATAGTGGCAATAATTCCTGTCTAACTGTGAAATGAAAGTTGTCCTGAATGGCTTATCTTCCAGTTCGTTCCATAAAAACGCTGGTGTTCCTCAAAACTTTATCCTGGGTCCTACAATATTCCTGATCTTCATTAATGATCTGCCTGACGTCATCAGTTCCCAGGTCAGCATCTACGCAGACGGCATTACCATTTACTCTTGTCTCAATAGTAAAACCAGCATTGCTGAGAAAGCTAACCTGGCCGTTAGTTTTGTAAACAACTTCTGATTTGTGGTTGAAATGACTTGTGAATTTTAATGCCTCCAAAACAAAACTGCTGTCATTTGCTCAATATAGAGAAACGCCCATGCCTTCTATCAGAATGGCTGATGCTCAACTCCAGGAAGCACTTCACCGGGCCTTCTTGGTCTCACGTTCTCCACTGACCTAAGGTGTAACAACTGCATTGAATCAATAGCTATATCTACCGCAAGGAAAGTTGGATTTCTGTGTCGCGCCAGAATGTTTTTCTCGTCAGGGTCCATCCTTCACATCAACAAATCTACCATTCGTCCATGCTTGGAATACTGTTGCCATATATGGTCTGGTGCCCCATTTTGTTCATCTCGAAGTTCTCGACATAATGCAAAGACGGATATTCAATGTGGTCAGTCCTGACTTGGGGTCTCGATATCAGTCACTTTCTCATCGACGTAATGTGGCTTCTCTCTGTCTTTTCTATAAATATTTTCATGGCATCTCCTCTGATGAGCTATTTTTACTGGTGCCCCGACTGCATGAATTTAAGCGTGTTGCAAGTGTATGGAAACAATTAAATGTATTCGCCTCTTCTACCCCAACAGCTTCTTATCAAGCACTTCCAGACAGTGGAACTCCCTTCCTCTTACTTGCTTGAATGACAACTATAATCTTCAAAAATTTCAATGTAATATCAATCGACATGTTCTGTTGCCTTGAACTCTACTCTTATTTTCATCCTAACCCCCGTCTCTTATACCTAGTCTTTTCCAATACACTATCTAGCCCCTTGCGTACTAGGCTTGGGGTGAAATGCTTAATAAAAGAAACAAAAACATAGATATCAACTGACTGAAATGGGCAAACTGATATGAAGAAAATGAGATAGATAGATAGATAGATATGAAAACATAGAGATTGCTAAATAGACACATAGATCTGAACAGAAAAATGTAGATAGATAGATAGACTGTTATGAAGAAGAAGTGATAGATAGATATATATATAGATAGATAGATAGATAGATAGATAGATAGATAGATAGATAGATAGATAGATAGATAGAATGAAACATAATCAGATAGCTAGCTAGCTAGCTAGATAGATAGATAGATATGAAAACATAGAAATTGCTACATAGATCTGAACATAAAAATGTAGAGAGATATATAGATAGATAGTTATGAAAACATAGAGATTGCTAAATAGACACATAGATCTGAACAGAAAAATGTAGATAGATAGACTGTTATGAAGAAAAAGTGATTGATAGATAGATAGATAGATAGAATTAAACAGAATCAGATAGATAGATAGATAGAGAGATAGATAGATAGATAGATAGATAGATAGATAGATATGAAAACATAGAGATTGCTACAGAGATCTGAACATAAAAATGTAGATAGATAGATAGATAGATATGAAAACATAGAGATTGCTAAATAGACACAGATCTGAACAGAAAGATGTGGATAGACTGTTATGAAGAAAATGTGATAGATAGATAGATAGATAGATAGATAGATAGATAGATAGATAGATAGATAGAAAGAATGAAACAGAATCAGATAGCTAGATAGATAGATAGATAGATAGATAGATAGATATGAAAACATAGAGATTGCTACATAGATCTGAACATAAAAATGTAGATAGATAGATAGAGAGAGAGAGAGAGAGAGAGAAATTGAGTGAAGGAACTGGATAAAATGCACCGTTTGGCCCATCCATCAGGTCCATCAAATGTCACTCGAGCTTCGCCTGTGAAGTTTCAGTTATGTCTTCATCCAATTTTCAGGTTTTAATATTTTTTGTTTTCGTGAGAAGACGTTGCATAGGAGATTGTTTACAAATCCCAATTCACAAAACATTCTACATCTATTGTCCTTCTTGACTGCCTCAATTCCAGCGTTTTCAAAGATCCGAGCTCTGGTCAAAAGTTTTTCTTTCAGTATAACTCGCTTTATTTTATGTTCATCTCAAGGAAGCAAGATCTTAAAGCCTTTTCCTCTGAAGACCAGTTTTCAACTTATATTTTCAACAACCTTCATTATCGTTCCATGATCTCTGCAAAGTTCCTTTTGATATTTCCAATATAGACATTCCCTCACTCAATAACTATTTTCCGTTTTTCAGCAGTTCTACTCTTTTACTCATGTTTCAACATATATTATGGGTAAAATGGGGTGACCTCGAGGTGGTGTAATGGTTAGCAAGCTTGGCTCGCTAGAGCAATTACGACTGAGTAGTGAGTTCGATCCTCACTGGGTGCCCCCTAATGTCGACCTTGTGCCACATCTAAGCTACGCTTGGAAAATCGCTATATTATGGGTAAAAAGAAAAAAAATCGTTTTTAAGAGGACTAAAGCTAATATTAACTTAATCTGCTTGCTAACTTCATTGAGTCAATTTTTGTAAACTCCAAATAGCTTAAAAGGGAACCATTAAAAATGACAGAAGATTTAATTAAATATTTTACTAATGGTGGAAATGGACGTGTTTAAATTTGACAAATATGGGTTCAGAAATTTTTAAGTTATTGAGGTTTATCTGATATGAATAATAACTTCAGACAGATTGTAGATAGATAGATATAAATATACTGAAATAGACTGATATAAAGACAAAGCGATAGATAGATAGATAGATAAATAGATATATATATATATATATATATATATATATATATATGAACAGAGATAGATAAATAGATAGATAAACCGACTGCAATAGATAGAGTGATATGAAGAGGAATATAAATGACTAGACTGAAATACAACGATTGATATGTAGAGAAAGTGATAGATAGATAGATAGATAGATAGATAGATAGATATGAACATAGATAGATAGAAACAGAATTAGATACATATAAACAGACTTAATAGATTTATATGAAGAGAAAGTGATAGATAGATAGATAGATAGATAGATATGAACATAGATAGACAGGTAGATAGATAGATAGAAACAGAATTAAATACAGTGTAACCTGGATATAAGAGACCCGGATATAAGAGAAACCCGGATATAAGAGAGATTTTCTCTGGTCCCATATTAGAGCCTGTGTTAATGTATATAAAATAGACCAAACCCGGATATAAGAGAAACCCGGATATAAGAGACTTCTTCTCCGGTCCCGACAACTCTCTTATATCCAGGTTACACTGTAGATATAAAAAGACTTAATAATAGATAGATTGATATGAAGCGGAAGTGATATATATATATATATATATATATATATATATATATATATATATATATATATATATATATATATATATATATATATATATATATATATATATATATATATATATATATGATATATAGATAAATAGATGTGCCAGAAATATAATGTTCGATCATTTAGATTTTAGGAATTGGTCCAACTGAGAACTTTCCAGTAGACACTCGTTACCCTTCCTTTCTTTTTACTCGTTAATTTTCTTCCATAGCATTTATTTCTAATACTATTTTTTTCGATAACTTTTTTTTATATCAGTTCAGTTTCTCCAACGTCAAGGAAGAAAAAAAAATGATTTAAATATCAAGGAGAATGTGTGTTATAAATAATAATAAAAAAATTCCCGACCAAAAAGCTCGACAAAGAAAGACAAAATAGTTTCGATGGCAGAATCAAACACACGCTGACTTTTGGAAAGGTTTCTTTTTAAAAATATGTTTTCAATATAAGGCAGTGTCAAGAATAAAATAATTGTATTTGAGAACTATTTTTAAAACAACGTTTCTTTGAGTCGGGCACATGTGACGACATTCTTCTAACTGATAAGAAAATGTCTGCCGCTTACGTAGCAAAAAAAAGAAGTGCTACGCGACAAGCGGTAAATTTTGATTGTTTGAAGTAAGTAACAAAATATTTTGGATTTCTTTATTGTCGACATATACCCATACGAATATAAAAATATATTATTGATTACTATCAAAGTTTTATGCATGCAGCCGTTTGTATGTGTATCAAAGTATTAGTCTGATGGTGAATTTATGTGACGTGACGTGGTCCAGGGTTGATCCCTTGGTCACGGCACCATTTGTGACGTCGTCCCCCGGTCGCAGCGTCGACTGTGTCGTTCGATCCCGTTCGCGGCGCCAATTGTGACGTCACGTGCTCCCCAGGCTCTGATATCCTGGTCACGGCACCATTTGTGACGTCGTCCCCCGGTCGCAGCGTCGACTGTGTCGTTCGATCTCGTTCGCGGCGCCAATTGTGACGTGACGTGGTCCAGGGTTCTGATCCTATGGTCACGACACCAGTTGTGACGTCTTTGCCGCGGCGTCAGCTGTTCGCTCCTCGCTGCTCCAAACGTGACGTTCTAACCCTTTGGTTAGATTGATACCAGCCTCGTCGTTCCCAACCCGCTTCCAACGCCTGGTTACCAGGGTAACTGCACTGATCTCCGGTCTGCCTACCCACGTTGTGACTTGATCTTAGACAGACGAGATCAAACAGGGCTTGGGGCCGTAATGCAAGTTGAGTCTAACGGGAGTGATAACACACAATTATGTATAATAAAAAGAAAAGAAATAAAATAAAAACTCACAAGGTCCAACGTATCAAGAAAAAGGTAACAAACTTTTATGTCTCTTTGCTCGGTACATAGGACTATGTCTACTTCCCGACCCGTTCTGTGGATTGTGGCACAACGCTTTTACTAGGCAACTTTAAGGCTTCCAGTTGTCTGCTCTCTACAAAATTTGTGTTTCGGTGTGTCCTTGGACGAAAGTAAAAAAAAAAACTTATTTCTGTGGTCTGATTTTAAGTCGCTCTTCAAACTACTTGTTCTTGGTTGAAGAAGAGTCCAGAAGTGTGCGTGAATCTTGGTTAGCTATCTTGACGCGGTTTCAACACTGGGCGCTCATCTCTGCTTGTCGTTCACGGCTCAAACTGCAATCCGCTCGCCGTCCGCGGCTGGTCTCTCCAACTTCTCTTCAGAGTCTGAATTATTGGTCACTCATCTCCGCCGTCAGTGCGCGAATTAACTTCTTCTCTTCAGCTTGCTCTGATTCCAACTTCTCCACCTAGGCCAAACGAGCTGCTTCACTTCGGCCAAAAGAGCTGGCCTCTCCTGCCCGCTAGGCGGGGGGGGGGAACGAATCCGGCCCGCCGTCCGCGGCTGATCTGATTTCTGTCGTTTGGGGTCCCGCTTTTATTGATGCAGTCAAAAACTGGGGTGGGTCTGTCGGCGCCAGGGTTTTCTTGATAATTCTAAATACGTATCCACCCTTCTTATTTCTGGTTAGGGATTTTCCATTTTCGGTAATTCACTTTCACTCCTACTTCCTTATTGTACCTCTGAGGGGCGTATACCAACTTCCCCGCTTCTTCGTATCGGCCCCTCACACTTCCACTTCTGACAAGGGCGTCGACCGATTCTCCTCGTGCGTCACGTGACCGCTCTCGGCCAATGAGGTCCTGGTCGGTTATCTTTCCTCCTCCTTCGTGTGTCATGTGACCGCTTTCGGCCAATGAGGTCTTTAGTCGGGTGTGGACAATCCTTGGCTTTGTTCTGGGGGAAGATACACCTTGCTTAAAAAAATAAAAAATTAAATTGCCCTTATCATAAGCGACTGCGATGACACCGGCTTTTTAACACGTGGTATTTGTCAAGCAGTTTATCGCTAATTGGATATGACCTAAGAAAGGGATTTCTCAGACTGGGTGGCGTTTTCGTGAACGAATAAAAATATTTCACTTTTTTCTTTCCTCGAAGCTTGATAACAAAAAATCTTCATTATCTCAAAAAACATTTTCAGCCAACATCATCTTGTGTGGCTTTTTTTTCAATTCTGGAAATTTTCTGTGTTTTCATATTAATGGTTTGTCTTCATATCCTTAGATACACTTCCCACCTGTTACCTATCATATTTTTTTCCATTGTCCCTAAACTTTGTTTCTTCAACCATTTGATAACAAACTTCCATTTTTCGTGGACACGGAAGTAGGTCAGGTGCTTGACCTGGATATCTTTCGGCATCTGTTATGTGTCAGTCGAGCGTGTGTGTGCTCGCTTATGACCTGTTTTCGTATTATTTATTTTTTTTTCTTTTTCTTCTGTCTTCTCTTTCTTTCTCCCAGATCGCTTGAATGTAAAGAAAGAATTATTCCTAACCCGAAATATTTTTCAGCCCTAAATAATTATCAAATGGTTGACAAACCGTAAAAAACAAATCATATATTTATGAATATTTCTTTTCAGCTTGCTAACTATGAATGGTGCCACATTTATATTTTTTCGTAAACATTTATTTAAAAAAATAATCTCTATTTCCCTAAGCTTCCTGAAAAATTAAATTTTTAACACCATATAAAAGCAAGGTAAGAACTATACTCCGCTACAATTAAACTAAGAATTGTAACCCAATACAATTAAAATAAGAGCTGTAGTCCGCTACAATTAAACTAAGAACTGTACCCCGGTACAATTAAACTATGTACTGCATCCACCTACAATTAAAGTAAAAACTGTACCGCATTACAATTAAATTACGAGCTGTACCCATTTACAATTAAACTAAGAAATCTGCCCTGCTAGAAGCATCCTAAGAATTGTACCACGCTACAATTAAACTGAGAACTTTTTCTCGTTAAAAATTTCAGATCGCTACATCTATGAGAAAGATGTAATTTAATTTTTTTTAATTGCTTCATTCCAAAATTTTAACACTTCAGCAGATAGCTATTAATGCCAACAACTGAGGACAAATAGTTATTCATGAAAAAAAATAGTAATTAATGTATAATATTATTCATAACTACATGTAAAAGAATGTAGTTTTTTTTTATAAAAGTTAAGAAAAAAAACCGTAAATACCTAAAACAATGCGTATATTGTCGAAAATTCCTTTTCCCACAATATAGCGATTTGTGCTGCCATAATGATTATTACCTAAACAATAATAATAGTGAATAATTTTTTAATCATTAAATTATATCTAATCACATCTGCCTAATAGTTGTCTGGATCTATAAACTAAGATAAGTACCGGCTACAATTAAACTAAGAACTGTACACCACTAAAATCAAACTAAGAACTGTATCACGCTACAGTTAAATTAAGTACATATATATATATATATATATATATATATATATATATATATATATATAATTATTTATTTAAGAAGAAAAATTATAACATAAATATGTTTTAAAATCACTACAAAAATAGCCATTTTGTTTCAACACCCTCGGTGTCTTATCGAGAGATGATGTTGAATGTAAGATAAATGGTTTTAAAAGTTTCAAATTAATTAACAATCCTTCACAAGGGGAAAAAGTTGTTACAAAAGCTAGATGGACCAATCAAAATACAAGTATAGGAAAATTCAAAAAGCTTGACAACGAAGTCATGTTATAATTGTTATTCAGATGTTTAAAATATGGGTAGTATTAAAAAAAATTATTCTAACCAATAAAAACCGTAAATACCTAAAACAATATACACCAATAAAAACCGTAAATACCTAAAAAAATATACACCAATCATATACTTGGGTATATATATATATATATATATATATATATATATATATATATATATATATATATACATATATATATATATATATTAAGAACGGTACACTGCTAAAACTATACTAAAAAACCGTAGGCCGCTAAAATTAATCTGATAACTGTATCCTGCTACAGTAAAGATAACAAGTGAACCCCGCTGCATTTAAACTAAGAAAAATGCTTCCCGCGACAATATAACTAAGAACTGTACAATTAAACTGACAATTGTATACCGATTCAAATAAACTAAGAACTGTATCACATTACAATTAAATTAAAAAATACACACGCTACATTTAATCTCA